ATCGCTTGAGACAAAGTAGAAGAAACAGAGAAAAGTGGCACCCTCTATTTTAACGATATATGCAAACATTTAGTCTATTCCCTGAATTACAGTGGTAGGACTCTGAAAAGCTACTGAGATAAAGGCACTTAGGGAGCCCAAGCATAATTCACTCTCATTCTCATATTTATTCTCTCCCTTCCTCTTTCTCTCATACACATATAAAGACACACCTGCACATTGCAAACAAAAAGAACAAAACTGAATCTTCCATCCTGAGCATTTGCAGTTATTCTGAGGTGTTAAAACTGTACTTACATGTGTCCTTCATGGGAAAACTATGTCCTAAGCCTTTTTTTTAATACGCTTTCATTCTGTTTTAGCCATGGGCCACCTACGTCTGTAATTATAGCAAACATAGTTCTTCTACAAGTGACATTTCATTACTTTCTTGGAATGCTGCATCTTCGGCGTGTAAGGAGGGAGGAGAGGGAGAGATTACTTTAAAGTAATGGTCAATAATATTGAGTGTCAAATTAATTATTTAAAATAAATAATCATTTTACAGCAATCTATTTCATCCTTTTCCTGAGTTGATGCAGGCACTACAAAATGATATGAACAATTAGATTATCAGTGTTGAAACAGAAAAGTTATTTTACCTTAGACCTATCAACTATTAGTTTGAAAATAATAAAATGCTTTTTTCATATTAAATTTAGTCTACTGTTTATTTTCTGACTTCCCTCCACTAGAATGTGGTACCACAAGAGCAGGGGTCTTTGTTTTGTACACTAAAGAATCCCGAACAATTAGAACAATGTAGCACATAGTAGACACTCCATACATATTTTTGAGTAGATATTTTCCAGAAGACAGTTATGTGAACTTAAAACATTCACATTTTATGCTTAATTATCATGAATAATTAAAAATGCTTTGAGTTTGCAAATATTACTATAAGCTCTCTATCTTTTATAAGAATATGAGCCTGATAAAGGGTGGGTTAACTCTTCCCTACTTTAACTCGTTTCCTTTCTGGTTCTGTCACTTTTTAGTTGTTTACCAAGATATGCTCATTTACCATTTTTAAAATGGGTACAGTAAGAATACGTATCCCATAAGGCCATTATAAGTGTTAAATAGCTAATTCATATAAAGTACTTAACACGGTGCTTCTCACATAGTAAGTGCTCAACGAATGTTATCAGTATCATTACATCATGCTGGTTCAATCAGTTACTCACTGTTGAGGCACCACATAGTCCAAATAGTTTTTTTAGACTAAAAACAACCTGAACTTGACCTCACATTCATTTAAAAAGTCAATGAGCTCTCTTATATTTAAGATTCTTAAAGTATAAGAATGGACTTATACTAAGCCTGTAATAACTTAATTACATATAAATTGTACACTTTCTGCTATTATTTGGTCTCCTAAGCATCTTCTATCATCAGCTAAGTGGCTTCAACAAAAGTATGTTTGGATAACTTTTAAGATGCCAAATTACATATGCTATCTTATTGTCAATAAGTTGGAAACTGGATTAATAGAGTATCACTTACATGCTTACAGTATATGTACGTAATCAGTACTTAAAAATACGTACTTTCTGAAATGGAAGGCTTTTGAACAAAAAAATGTTTAAACACTAATCCTCATTTTTAAAACTGACAACTGAATTGCTAATCTTTGTCAGAAGTCCCAAATTATCCTCCAGTCTAAGAAGAGAATCTTCTCAGGTAACATTTCCACCAATTCTTTGTTATTCTCTCCTCAAGAGTTGTAAGCTCTTGGTGTTATTTCTCCTAAGTCTGTAAGTCACAATTTCTCTTACATATCTACCACGTGCGCTGAGCAGCACAGTATGGTTCCTTCTACTAGAGCAGTAGTCTGACATTAGAGAAACTGGTTCTGTCACTTAAGCCTCAAAACTTTAATTTGCAGTAATAAATTTAGCATCCTAAATATTTAAAATAACCTTGGGTATAACACACAATGGCAAACAAGAAACACAATTTTAGAATATCCTTTAAACTACAGTACATCACAAATAATGTCTTGCAAAAACCTGTAAGAAAAAGATCCTAAGTTTTCTAATCACTTCTCTATTTTCTTTTTGAAAATTAAACTTCACTGTAACATTATACTACTTATTTAAAAGTCTACCATAAAAAATGATTTTATAAAAGCACTGGATAACTGCCTCCCTAGTTTTAGAAAATTTTCCTGTTATGAAATGATGGGGTCTTTATTACCACATTAACCAAAATTTTGGAGCAAGGGCTAGATTATATCTCATGAGCCCCTCTAATAGAAACAGCATACAGAAAATTCTTTTCAAGTGTATATTTTTGAAATATTGCTGAACTCTAAACAATCTAAAGAAAAAAACAACTGAGCTTCCCAAAGCAATTTTTGCAGTAAAAAGTGTCATCTGACTTTTTGCAAGTGCATAACACTACCGAATAATCTCTCTGACCCAAGTCGGCCTTATCTCCCATTTAACTCAGTATCCCTTCCAACTTGCAGGCTTCTCCTGAAGTCCTCTGGCCACCTTCATTTTAGTCTGGGCACATGAGTTTGTTTCCCAAGTCACAAAGAAAATATAGATCATTAGGTAAGAATCGCTCACTCTGCAAGCTCATTCTAACTCACTCTCTCACGCACACCAACACATTTACACACACACAAATCTACACACACATGCTCAGACACGAACACAGCCCATGTCAATACCTCTACTTTGATGGCAGTGTAAGAAGCGTCCTGTCTCCTGCCAAGGCGTCCTCTGTGCCCTGGAGCCCACCCTGTATACACTTTCCCTGCCTTTTTACCTTTCGTTCCCTCCTTTCCATCTCCTCTGTCATTGCCTTCACGGCAATGGTGACTGCGGAGTCACCGGCCTTACTGCATTAGTATTATTATTGATGTTACTGTCTCCAGTCTTCCTCCCTTCAAATCCATCCCCCACACTGCTTCCAGAATAATCTCTCACAAATAAACTTTAATAAAGGAACTCCCCTGAAGTATATAATATCGTCCAATGTTTCCCTATGTCCTCTAGGATAGAGTTCTAACTCCACAGTTTGGTGTAATCTAGACTCTGTTTTGCCTCCAATTTCTTTACCTGTCTTTATCCCACACATACACTGTGCTCCAACTACTTTGAATTACATACAGTCCCCTGAAATTATCATACTACATAATAGCTTACTGCCTTTGCCCATGCTCTTCTTTTCTCTGAAAATGTTTTCAAATACTTCTTTACCTGGATATCTTATACACCTTTAAAACAGTAGAAAGGTATGGCAGTCATTAATTCTACTCACATATCTTCCAATTTTCCTTTCCCTCTCAGTAGAAAGCAATATTGCACTTCACAATCCCCTATTTGAAATTAATCAATTTGCTTTGACCAATGAAACTATAAATGTCAGCGCATAATTAGCCACTCTCTCTTCCCACGGCTGCAGTTATCATGGAGGTACGTCGATGAAGTCTTCGATGTCTTAAGTCACTGATCTTTCCTACCAACCCATTTTGGACATGTAGTGTGTGTGAGAAACAAACATTTGTTGTGTTCACATTGAGATTTGGGCTTGTTTGTTCCTACAGCATAATCTAGGCTATTCTGACTGATACAGAGGGTTACCTTTTTCAGGAAGCCTTTCATGAACTCAATACAATCTGATCCAAATGCTGCTTCTCAGAGTGATGACAACATTCTATTCATGCTCTTATCATAACACAGCACTGTAGTAAGACGGCCGCTGTAATTATCCATTTCCCTTCAAACTGTACTTCTGAGGGCAGGAACTGTTATTTCATCCCTGTATCCTCGCAACCTAGCAGTGTCTAACTCACGCGAAGTGCTTAAAAAAATGTTTGCTAAATTAACCGTTCATTCATTCATTCATCAAGGGCCAGGCACTACTCTAGTTCCTCGAGATAGAGTAAAATCTGAGCAAACAAAGACTCCTGCCCTTATAGGAGCTAATATTCTTGTGAGGTATAATGACAATAAGCAACACAAATAAGTATAAAGTACATAGTTTATTAGATAGTGATAAATGCTGAGTCGAGAATATAGAGCAGGAATATTTGGGTGGTGACCAGGTAAGACCTTATTTAGAAGGTGACCTTTTAATAAAAACCCAAAGGAAAGTAAGTAAATTGTCCGTGCAGATATCTGGGGGAAGAGCAGTTCAATAGAGACAACAGTGACAAACCCTGAGATGGTAACACACCTGGCATGTTCAAAGAACAACCAGGGAGCCAGTGTGGCTGAGCAAGCGAGTGATTAGAGCGGTAACAAGAGGCCAGGTCTTGCAGAGACACATGGGCTAGTTTGAGAGCTTTAGCTTTTATCTTGAGTGAAATGAGGAGCCATTGACGAATTCTGTGTCGAGTGATGGGTGGAAAAGGACGGTGGAGGATAAGGTCAGACCTATAATAGGGGCCCATATTCTTTTACTTTATGACATATTTCCTCTCTCCACAATACATGTTTACATGTGAAAAATGGATGTACCAATTAACCAAGAAAAATTAAAAATAATATTGAATAACTGACATTTTATGATGATCATAATCTGTTTATTACTCATTATGCAGGGACATTGATTATAACCAATATATGATTACCAAAATATAATAATGTATATATAATATAAATAAAATATAATAATGGTATATCAAACATCAAGAAAAATCAAGTATTTAATATAGCAACAAATTCTACTAGACAATTAATAATACTAAATGATTTAACAAATTAGATACAGATTTTTAGCTCTATGGATCTTGCTTCATTTACTTGAATTTGCCCAAATACCACAAAATAAATACAAGTAAAAAAATTTCCCCATTGTAATTCTGCCTTTCATAAGAAAAAACTACATTCTGAACCCAAGTTCATTGCTAGAAGCAAACAAACCAAAACAAGAAAAGTGAAGTGAAAGAAAACAAACCACGAGTCAAAACACCTTTTGCCAAATGTTAAATCAAATAAACACACCTTGCGTTGTGTCCTTGACGCTGCCAAGTCTGAACTCTGGAGAGCTGCCAACGGGTGAGATGTTTCCAAAGGCAAGATCTTTACCGAGGAAGCTGTGCTCACATTCCTGGAAAATTCAATTCCAGATACCAATAATAATATTCTTTGTTGCTTTTTCTTACTAAAATTCAAAATACAGTATATCGAAATATTAAATGGATGATCTCCAGTTCCCTTATTGTCCACTGTGGCAGCATTTTCTAAAATGTGTTTCTTGGTTTGCTAACTCTATTATATGTTCAATCAAAGTAAGTTCCTGTGGCCAAATATACTTGGAAAACGTTGCATACTATGCCCCTTTTCCACAAGGCACACTTTCATAAAAAGGCTCTGAGAACTCCTTTAATAGAGAAGCCAATTTTAATTTACTTGACCTAACGTGTTCCAACTTTAAGTTAAAGACCCCCTGTCCAGTGTAATGAATACTAACATTATTTTTGCTGATCACACTTTAAGAATGGTTCATTGTATAGCAATTATCTGAAAAGTAGTGAGAGATCCTTTTTAGAGTTGAATATGAATGTAAAGAGGTGGATTTGAATTTATTTTCTGTTATGGCAATGTGTACAGAGTTGACCTACAAGAATAGAATAATTGCATTTATTCAACCATAAACATTTAAGTATATGTTACTTTCTAAACTAAATGCCCACTAAAAAGCACCAAGGAAAACAATAACATAAATGTATAATTTATTCATTTTTGTTCAATGAATATTTACTGAATACCTATCATGTGCCAAGCACTGAACTTATCTCTAGTTTTATGCTGCAATTGCTCTCATATAGATACGAGTATCAAATCTAAATGATTCCAAACGCTATCTAATAATAATAATACCAACTCAAAATTTAACCCCAAGTATTTGAGAACATAGTTTTATTGATTCTAATCATATCATTAAAAATAGATGGCTATTTTTCAATAGTGATAATAATCCAGGTCAAGCATAATATGAAAGCATAGTCTCTTTCTAAAAATGGTGTTGCAAAAGAATAAAGTTGAACTCCTACTTCATACCATATACAAAAATTAACTCAAAATGAATCATAGACCTAGATGCAAAGGTTGAAACTATAAAATACTTAGAAGAAAACACAAGAGTAAAACTTCATGACCTTGGGTTAGGCAATAGTTTCTTAGATACAATACCAAAAGCACAAGCAACAAAATTTAAAAAATAGGTAAACTGGATTTCACCAAAATAAAAAAATTTTGTGTTCCAATTTACATGATCAAGAAAGTGAAAAGCAACCCACACAGAATATTTGCAAATCATATACCCGATACAGGTCTTATACCCAGAATATATGAAGATCTCTTACAACTCAACAGTAAAAATACAGATAATCCAATTTAAAATGTGCAAAGGATTGGAACATGAAATGTCCATAATGGGAAAATCCAAAGAGAGAGAAAACAGATTAGTGGTTGCTTAATGCTGAGGGTAAGGGCAGAAGAGCAGGGGAGTAACTGATAACGGATGCAGGGTTTTCATTATTTTTCTGAGATAATGAAAATATTCTAAAATTAATAGTGGTGATGACTGCACAACTGTAAATATGCTAAAAACCACTGAACTGTAGACTTTAAAGTAATACATTTTATAATTGTGAATTATATCTCAATAAAGCTTTTATTAAAATAAAAGAGTCATAATAATTTAAGTCTACAGTCCTTATCTATAATGTTTGGGCCAAGATGCGTCTTGGAAGTTTTTAGATTATAGAAAAGTAACATGTCCCATCACAATTAACCCCAATTGGGAAAAATTAATAAATAAATCAGAAGATCACAAAAGTTTACTTAAATCTAGAGTATTGATATTAATTTTTACAACATATATCTTCTCATCCAAGCAGTTTTTTACATTTGCAATCAATTTTTAACTAGATTTAACATAATTATTCAGAGCTACCTCTATTTGAGGGCTTTAGGATATACCACCAGTTTTTTAGTTTTTATATATACCATAGCTTTTGTGTTTATACTGTAACATCTTCTAATAAATGCTTGTATGTCTTAGTTCTCCCCCACCCAAAAGCAAACAGAACGTAGTTTAGAATGCCTTATATAGTTAGGAGTGGTTTTCTATTGCCATCACACAAGAAAGACAAACTGCATGGAAATTTTTTTTTAAGAACTCTAAAAATGTTGCTCTATTGTCTTCTGGTATTTAATGCTACAGAAAAGAAGTCTGAGACCAGCCTAATTTTTGTTTCCTGATAGTAATATGCTATTTTTTCTCTCTTTCTAAATACGAAAGTTTTATCATTATAATTTGAAAATTTTTTGACATTGTGTCTTTTTGAGTTGTCATGCCTTACATAAGAAACGTCCTTTCTGCATTCACAGGTCTTTCTTCAGCTCAGAAAAGTTGTATTTCCTGTTAACTCTTTATTACTTTTTTTCAAATGCTCTGTTCTCTTCTTTAGAAACAACCATCTACAGTCTCGTCTCTTCTTCAAACTCTAAATATGCATATAGTGGACTTCATTCTTTTTCCTTCATATATCATCTTCTTTTCATGAATTCAATATTTTAGCTAGGAGAACTTTTCAAGTCTATTCTTCACACTGATTAAATTTTCTACAGTAATATTAATTCTGCTCTTTAATGCCTAAAGTATGAATTTTTAATATGTTATTGTGGTAGGTAGAATAATGCCCCCCCATAAAGATGTGCACATCTTAATTCCCAGAACCTGTGAATATGTAACCTTACATGGTAAAAGTGACTTTGCAGATGTGATTAAAGGAAGAAACTTGAAATGGAGATGATCCTGGATTATCCATGTGGGTCTTTCAAAGTAGATAACTTTTGGGGTCGACCCGGTGGCATAGTGGTTGAGTTCATGTGCTCTGCTTTGGTGGCCCAGGGTTCATGGGTTCAGATCCCAGGCACAGACCTACACCACTCATCAAGCCATGCTGTGGCTGGTGATCCACGTTCAAAGTGGAGGAAGACTGACACAGATGTTAGCTCAGAGGCAATCTTTCTCAAGCAAAAAGAGGAAGACTGGCAACAGATGTTAGCTCAGGGCCAATCTCTCTCACCAAAAAAGTGAATTACTTTTCCTACCTGTGGTCAGAAGGGGATTTGACTACAGAATAATAATCAGAGAGATACAATGTTGCTGGAGGAAAGTCATAAATCAAGGAATGTGGGCAGCCTCCAGAAGCTGGAAAAGGCAAGGAAGCAGATTCTCTCCCAGAGCTTCCAGAAAGAAATGTAGTCCTGCATTGATTCTAACCCAAAGAGACCTATGTCAGACTTCTGAACTATAGAGCTAAAAGATAATGAATTTGTGTTGCTTTAAGTAGTTTGTTACAGCAGGAATAAAAAACCAAAAAATAAAAAATAGTTCTCATATTTTTAGTTTGTCATCTTTTTGTTTTACCTTACTATCTTCCTACTGTCACTTAATCATTGTTCTTTTTATATGGAATATATATAATTTTATATGGCCTTTATATAGACATATATTCTTGCACGTGTTAGATGTCAAATAATTTCTTCAAATATTCTTCTTTAACTGAAAATTCTTCTTAGATTTTCACAGGTATGGCTCTGAGTCTTCTGATTTCCTTTTGCTTGGTTTTGTGAGATTTTTGGTTCCACTTTACTCATTTCAAATGCTGAATTTATCCAGAACATTTTACCATTGAAAGAGACTGTATAGATCATTTCTACATAGTCCAGTGTTTCCAAATGTGTGTATGTATGGGGAGGTGGGAACTGAGGAGAGAAGAGACAGAGAATGGATCTCTAGGAAACAGGCAAAACAGAATCAGAAACTGGGAGGTCCTTTTTAAAATTATACCTTCCTATCCTGAAAAAAATCTCATTTGCCTCTGCCCAGAGATTCGGTGCTATACTGAATCACTATGAAGAGTGAGAATGTATTACAATACTCAAGCATATTCTTCAGAAAAATGGTAGAAAACCACAAATCTTCAACTCTTTCTATTCACAGATAAGGAACTTAATGCCTGGAAACATTATAAAACCCAACAAATGATAATCCACTGCTAGAGCCAAGTCTAAAACTTTCAGTCTAGTGTACCTTCTACCTGGTAAAGGTTATAAACTGAAATCCACAGTTAGGATTTTGCCATAGGTATCCATATAATTCATTACTCTACACCCTGCAATATTTGAATATTTTTAATATTCTAAGTATATAAAAAACGTTCTTTGGATTAAATCATCTCCTTTTTGTCTCTGCCAAAATTTTAAGTTGTTCAATGTAATTGGTCTGCTACTTTTGCAACTATGTCACTACGTAATACTACTACAGAAGAACTAAGCTACTTTATTCTTGCTGTCATTCCCCATGTTCAGTGGCTTGAAAACTATGAAATTGACAAGGTCCTCTCATTTATGGAACTGTCTCCACCTTCTTATTCAGCAAAACAGTTTGTTAAACCTCTTGAGTACACAGTATTTATCTTTCTATTGTTGTTTAACATTTCAAAAGAGGTAAACTAAGAAATCATCTTTTCTTTTTCATGAAAACATATACCCATGTCACTCTATTATTGTAAAGACACAACATTTCTATCACATAAGAAAGGATTAAGTGTATGTAATAGGTATGAAAAGATGTAGCTCTAGGACTCTATGATCCTTATCTGTTCAGTAAGACATGTCTTGAGGATATCAAACATGATAAAATATGTGTCACTTATTTTACATTAATATCATTTTAGTCCATCTGGGAGAATACCAAAAAAAACTATATTCTTTTTGTTTTGTTTTGTTTTGTTTTTGTTTTTTGTTTTTGTTTTGTGAGGAAGATCAGCCCTGAGCTAACATCTACGCTAATCCTCCTCTTTTTGCTGAGCAAGACCGGCTCTGAGCTAACATCTATTGCCAATCCTCCTTTTTTTCCTCCCCAAAGCCCCAGTAGATAGTTGTATGTCATAGTTGCACATCCTTCTAGTTGCTGTATGTGGGACGCGGCCTCAGCATGGTCGGACAAGTGGTGCGTCAGTGCGCTCCTGGGATCCGAACCCGGGCCGCCAGTAGCAAAGCGTGCGCACTCAACTGCTAAGCCACGGGGCCGGCCCAAAAACTATATTCTAAGCAATATTTTTCATAAGACTTTCATACTTAAGAGCCAAATCCATTGATATCAAAAACATAGATATATATGAACAAAGACTAGGAGAAAATCTGGCCTAGCCTTATGTTTCTACATGGAGGAACTTCCACTGGAGCAGTGGTTATCAGTGGAGATGCTTATGGCATGGGAGTAGGGAAAAGAAATTCTTCATTGAGTTGGTGGACCTCCACATTTAACAATATTTAGCATCCCTAAACTTCACGGTCCCAAAAGCCAGTAACCTCTCCTTTAAAGACACGGTAATAATTTAAAAACACCCGCACATACTTCAAATGGCCCAAAGGTATCACCCAGAATGAAAACCAGAGCACTAGATTAACAGTCCTGGCCTCAGATCCCACTCCTTATTCACAGCTTCCCAAAAGGAGAGTTAATTGATCAGTGGCTGAAATCCATTGGTCCACGTTACTCCAATGGGTAGAGATAACCTATTATAAACATGTAAACACTAAAGGTTTACCTTCTTTTACTTCCTTCTCTGCCCTAGACCATGCAGAGCAGTACTTCTGGGTAAGCGTATCTGTTCTGCAAACGGAAACCTCTCAGCTGGACTAAAGTCTGGGTTCTGAGAAGGAGCGGAGGTGGAAGGGGACAGGAAGTACTAGCACTCACCTTTGGTCTCCCATCTAACACACTATGCCCAGTCAGCTCTTTGGTAACAAAGCTGATATTGGAATCTCCACCTGTCTGTTTAAAGGCTCAAGAGAAAGAAAGAGATATTATTTATTGAGCCCCTAAAAACTTCAATTCCATTAGAATGCTCTCTCTAATCCATTTGCTTTTATTCCAGCTCCTCCACCAGAAATGAGTTGAGTAAAGAAAGGAACAGTCAAATACTAAATAGTTCAAATAAAATTATAAGTGCTAAAGAAACAACAGGTGCTCCTATATACTCTTATGCTTATTATAAAAGCAATATATTTTTCCTTTTTCAATGTTTTCCTTATCTAATGATAATATTTACTACAGATGCCCATTTTTATTGATAAAGCTAGATAAAGGAACTTTAGCAAAGAAAATAACTCTATTTACAGCCTTTTATTTTATTTATTTATTTATTTAGCTGAGGAAGATTGGCCCTGAGCTAACATCTGTGCCCATCTTCCTCTATTTTGTATGTAGTATGCAGATGAGTGGTGTAGGTGCGCACCCGGGAACCAAACCCAGGCCACCAAAGCAGAAAGCACCAAACTTAACCACTAGGCCACCAGGCTGGCCCCACACAGCCTTTTATTTTAATATAGAAATCAGGAAAAGAGCCACAGTGGAACCAACCACAATATTTTTTAGCCATGGAAAATTAAAATGTTATAAAGATCATTCACTTAAGTTGAAGAAAAAAGTTCTAAGAGTCAGGTAGCGATATTCTAGTGGCATATACCAAATGTAATCAGCTTGTCTTTGTCCAAAATGGACTTTAGTAGAAGTTTATGTATTTAATGCTTATCTCAAAAATACAATTTAACATTTTCCAAAAATATCTGAAAATAATTTCTCTTTTCACCTGCTTAAATATAACAGTATTCTTTAAGAGAATGATCAAAGGGCATCTGGAATGGAATACAGCTTACGTGGTTTGAAAGGCAGCAACAATTTATTGATCATTGGTATTTTTTGTTAGTAAAATGCTAAAAATAATAATAATAATATTAGCTGAAGACCTTGAACTTAGTAAGCTATGGTAAGATACATTGTGGAAAAAAGGAAAAAGACACAACTCTGCTCCCAGCTGTGTAGCTTTGGGTATAAGTTATTCAGTCTCTCTTTAGGGTGAGGAAAAGAGGGAGAGTAATTTTCTTATCCCTCAAGAAGTTGATTGAAAACAGGTGTTCTTAGACAACCAACCAGCTGGGAGAGAATATTTGCAAAACATACATCTGACAAGGGGTTGATCTCCATAATATATAAGAACTCACACAACTGAACAACAAAAAAACAAACAACCCGATCAAAAAATGGGCAGAGGAAATGAACAGACACTTCTCCAAGGAAGATATACAGATGGCCAATAGGCACATGAAAAGATGCTCAACATCACTAATCATCAGGGAAATGCAAATCAAAACAACACTAAGATACCACCTCACG